ATAAATAAATAAAAAAAAAATAAAGATACTTCCTCCAGAGAGTATTCAACCACAAGAAAGAGGGTTCTGTTAGATGGTCAAAAATATAAGATTACTAATCTTAATCAGCAGGCAAATTACAAATGGACATTCTCCTACTGTTTTGGTGGATACACATGTAAACTGAATTAGACTTTTTTGGATAATATTTTATCCTGGCTCTTCCACATACTAGATGAATGATCTTGAGCAAGTTACCTAAAAATATGTATGCCTTACCCAATTTGTAAAATGAGAATAATATTAATAAATATGCCTATCTCATAGAGTTATCATAAGGATTAGGTATGTTAATTCTTATAAGATACTTGGAACAGTCCCTGGTTGTTAGAAGTACTCATTTTAGCTATAAATACTACGATTTGATGGAACAATTGCTTTTAGGATTCTTTTCTATAGGTTTACTGAATATAAGCACAACAATAAACACAAAGTTGTTCTCTGCAACACTGTAAAAAAAAAAAACCTTAAATGTCAAGGAGCATAGGAATGATAAAATAAATTATAAGCCTTTTTATTTTGTAATATTGCATATTTACAGTAATGAGGTAGATCAGTGTACAACTATGGAAAAATCTCTCAAAATAAATTTTAAGAAACAATATACTGGAGCACCTGGCTGGTTCAGTTGGTGGGGCCTGTGACTCTTGATCTCAGGTTTGTGAGTTAGAGCCCCACATTGGGGGTAGAGATTACTTTAAAAAAATAATAAAAAGCACTTTACAAAGTATCCTAACTTAGATAAAATAAACCATGCAGTTCATGGTAATTTTTGTACCTATGTAAATTCATAACAAGAAGTCTAAAGCTTAAGAACTTAAATGTTAATAGTTACTTTTTAAATAGAATGGGTCTGTAGAAGGGAGGAGAAAATTCTAGATTCTCATCTTGATATTCCCACTAAATAAACACTGAGTGCTAACCTAGGCTTTCTGCTCCTGTTATAAAATAAGGTGGTTGGAGTGGAGTGATGCTGGCAAGGACTTTGTTAGGTATGGCCGTAGTGAAAGCTGTTCCTTTTCTAGAAGTCTGCTAAGTCAGATATGTAGTAATTCTACCTTCTGTTTATTTTCTTCAAAATTAGTTCCCACCTCCTGACCTTTACCTGTTTTATAGAATTTAGTTTTGTTCACCTTTGATACCTTTTCCTTTTAGACCTTTTTCAACTTCTTTAACATTTTTAGGATAAAAGACATGATAATTTGTCCTTTGCTTGTGGGAAGTAAAAGTAAACAAGTGAAGAGTATGTAACATCATCAAAATATTTGTAAACCCATTCTGGTTTAGTTTTTTGTTTGTTTGTTTGTTTGTTTGTTTTAATGTGAGCTCTGTGCCCAATGCGAGGCTTGAACTCACAACCCCAAGATCAAGAGTCATATGCACTACTGACTGAGCCAGCCAGGTGCCCCTGGTTTACTTTTTTTAATACAGTCTTCAAAAAAAAAGAACAACAAAAACTGGGGTGCCTGGGTGGCCCAGTCAGTTAAGCAGCCAACTTCAACTCAAGTCATGATCTCACAGTTCGTGGGTTCAAGTCCCATCTGTGCTGACAGCTCAGAGCCTGGAGCCTGCTTCAGATTCTATGTCTCCCTCGTTCTCTGCCCCTCCCCCACTCGCACTCTGTCTCAAAAATAAATAAACATTAAAAAAAAAAAAAAGGCTGAACAGTCCATTGTAATTGTCATCTATCATGACCTCTTAGATGGAACTATCCATGACACCATTAACTCTAGATACGGTTTTTTGTGTTTTTTTTTTTTTTATAGCTGACTTCGGTTTCTGTGCCCAGATCACCCCTGAGCAGAGCAAGCGAAGTACCATGGTTGGAACGCCATACTGGATGGCACCAGAGGTGGTTACACGGAAAGCTTATGGCCCTAAAGTGGACATATGGTCTCTGGGTATCATGGCTATTGAGATGGTAGAAGGAGAGCCTCCATACCTCAATGAAAATCCCTTGAGGGTAAGACCAGTTAAACACCAGCCTTATTTTTAGGAAAATACATTTCTTTAGAACATTTATTTAGAATCTGATTGTGCCAGTCACTCGCCAAAAATTTAAGATACAAAGTTGATATAACCTGGTCTCTGCCCTCTGTATCTAAAAATTATTTGCTTCTGGGTTATTGAGTTGAATGTGTGAGGTAAAGAGTTTGTAGAGTTTTAGTAAGCTGTATGGTTTTAAAGTTTGCACATAAGAATTTGCTCACTTTTGTACAAGTGTCCCTAGATGTACCCTTCAGATTGTCAACTTTGAACCTTGGCTTCTGTACCAAGTGCACAGGAGAGGAAAGCAAGATTACATCTGTGAGAAAACTGTGTAGATGGTGATGTTAAAGGTCACATTCAAACAAAAGAGTTAGGGTCCTGAGTTAGAGATGGGGTCAGTAGACTTTAAACAATTAGATATTCCAGTAGCTGAGGTGAAGAGTTTTGGAGTTTGTTTTTTCCTTCTTTCCCCCTCTCTGTCTCTCTCTCTCAGGTGAAGAGTTTAGGAGTTTGCTTTTTTTCTTTCTTTTCTTTCTTTCTTTCTTTCTTTCTTTCTTTCTTTCTTTCTTTCTTTCTTTCTTTCTTTCTTTCTTTCTTTCTTTCTTCTACTTGTAAATTACCATATATGGCTCAATATCATTAGTTATTAAAGAAATGCAAATCAAAACCCAAACAAGATACCACTTCACACCTTCCAGAATGACTATAATCAGGGCCCCTGGGTAGCTCAGTCAGTCAGGCACCCAACTTCAGCTCAGGTCATGAACTCATGGTTTGTGGGTTCAGGCCCCACATTGCGCTCTGTGCTCACAGCTCAGAGTCTGGATCCTGCTTCAGATTCTGCGTCTCCCTCCCTCTCTGTCCCTCCCCTGCTCATGCTCTGTTTCTCTCTCTCTCAAAAATAAATAAACATTAAAAAAAAAATTTTTTTTAAAGAATGATTATAATCAAAAAGATGGACAATAAGTGTTCGTGAGAATGTGAAGAAATTGGAACCCTGATTCGTTGCTAGTGGAACTGTAAAATGGTGCAGCACTTGGAAAACAATTTGACAGCTCCTCTAAAAGTTAATGTTGAGTTATCATATAACCTAGTAATTCCACTGCTAGTTACATACCCAAGACAATTAAAAGGCACCTGGGTGGCTCAGTCAGTTAAGCATCTGACTCTTGATTTTAGCTCAGGCCATGATTTCAGTTAGTGAAATTGAGCCCCAAGTTGGATTTAGGACTCCAGACTGACAGAGTGGATGGAGCCTGCTTGGAATTCTCTCTCTTCCTCTTTGCCCCTCCCCAACTTACCCACACGCATTCCCTCTCCTTCTCTCTCAAAATAAAAATACTTTTTAAAAGAAAGGTTTTTATCCACATAAAATCTTGTACACAAATGTTCATAGCAGCATTATTCATAATAGTCAAAAGGTAGGAAAAACCCATATGCCTATCACCTGATGAATGAATGAACAAAAGTGGTATCCCACTACAATGGAATATTATTTAGTCATAATAAAAGTAGTGAAGTACAGGTATACGCAACATTAAACATGAAAGCATTTTGCTAAATGAAAGTCATACACAAAATGTCATATATTGTAGGGTTCCATTTGCCATCGATTTTTGTTATTCAGGTTTTGCAAAGCCGCAAACACTGAATTAACAAATTCTGAACTGTTTTTAGGGGAGATACAGGGTTGGGTTCTTGCAAGCCTTTGGTCACATTTCTATCAACAGATCAATACATAACCTTGCTTTTTGTGTGTTTCTGTTTAAAGCCATTTTAAAAAAAATTTTTTTTTGAGAGGGAGTGAGCGAGAGCCATGAGCACATGCACACAGAGATGGGGCAGAGGGAGGAGAGAGAGAATCTTAAGCAGGCTCCATAGCCAGCACAGAGCCCGACTCAGGGCTTGATCCCATCCATGACCCTGGAATCGTGACATAACCAAAAATCCAGAATCCTTAACTGACTGAGCCACCCAGGTGCCCCATGAATTGTACACTTTAAAAGAGTGATTTTTGAGGCACCTGGGTGGTTCAGTCGGTTAAGGATCTGACTTTGGCTCAGGTCGATCTCATAGTCCCTGGGTTCGAGCCCTATGTAGGACTCTGTGCTGACCCCTCAGAGCCTGGAGTCTGCTTTAGATTCAGTGTCTCCCTCTCTGTCTACCCCCCCCCC